ACGTCTAAATGGGGAATGCATCTGAGTCATTCACGCGTGTGAGATTAAATCTGGAATGCTGGATCGCTAGGCACACGAATCGCTTGTATGGCACCGATATCAGCGTGTTTTGCCACATGATGTGTTCTGGTTCGCTGTGGTCACTAACTAGGTTGTTCCACACGACCGAATTTTTTTTTTGTATTTTAACCCATTGTTTTTAATTTTTCTTTCAAAAACACTCCCCCGAACTCAAATTTTCAATCTTATTCTCTAAAATTGATTTCAATTTCGTCCATAACTTATTTTTCTCAAAATAATTTAATAAAACTAAATTAAAATAATATTTTTAATTATTTATATATACTTTATAAATAAGAAAATTTATCTCGAGTTAAATTTTGGATTCAGGTATTACAGTTCTCTCCCCTCTAAGAAAAAAATTGGTCCCTCAAATTTATCACCCTCTCACTTAGTCAAATAATTGAGGGTACTGAGCTCTGAAGTCTGATTCTAACTCCCTTATGACATCTTTCTGTGTGTGATTCTGCAATAGGACCCTGACGAAAGAAATTTCTCTGTTGCAAAGTACTATTCTCTTTCAGTCTATAATGTTAACTGATACCTCCTCATATGATAGATCTTTTTGAAGTGAAAGAAGCTCATGGGACAGGATGTGTGAGGGGTTTGGGTTGTACTTGCATAACATGGACACGTAAAATACATTATAGATTCTAGACAACTTTGGAGGTAATGTCAGTCTGTAGTTAGTGGTACCAATCCTGTCTAAGATCTCAAATGGTCCAATGAACTAGGAATTTAATTTTCTAATCTTGTCAAACTTACTAATTCCATTGAAAGGGATGACCTTAAGAAACACTTGATCGTCTTTCTCAAATTCCAAATCTCTCATCTGGTGTCTGCAGAACTTTTCTGCTTGCTCTGAGCAGTCTGGATGTTCTTTTTTATTTTAACTATCTTGACTGTAGTCTTCTCTACAAGATCCAGGTCAAATAATTTTCTATCGTCCACCTCTTCCCAACAGATCGGCGACCTATAGAGTCGGTCATATAATGTCTCATACGGAATCATGTCGATGCTTACTTGATAGCTGTTATTGTAAGCAAACTCTATCAAATGTAGGTGATCATCACAATGGCCCCTGAAGTCTAAAGTACAAGCTCGGAATATATCCTCTAAGGTGTGAATCGTCTTCTCTAATTCTCCATCAATCTGAGGATGGAATGCAGTGCTAAGGAACAATTTCGTTCTCATAGCTTGCTGAAAACTAGATCAAAATCAAGAAATAAACCTAGAGTCTCTAATGGATATCACTGTCATCGAGACTCCATGTAGCCTGACTATCTTCTGAATATAGATTCTCGCTAGCTCGTCCAATGGGTTATTTATCTTGATAGACAAGAAGTTAGAGGACTTGGTGAACTAGTGAAGAATTACCCAGATTGCATCATGTCCTGAACGTGCCTTAAACAACCCTGTCATGAGATCCATTGTGATATGTTCCCACTTCCACTATAGGATCGGTGATGGCTGAAGTAGCCTGTCTAGGCGTTGATATTCTATCTTAACCTATTGACATACCAGACACTTGGAGACAAAGTCAGCTATCTCTTTTTTCATCCCGCTTCACCAAAATTGGGGCCGCGTACTTTGATATATTTTAGTACTTTCGGGATGTATGACGAATTTTGATCTATGAGCCTTTGTCATGATGTTCTTTTTTAGTTTACTATCATCTAAAATACATATTCTATCTTAAAACTTGAGCAACCCATCGGCAGAGACTCGAAATTCTGAATTTACTTCCTGTTCTGCGTCCTTCTTGAAAGCTACTATAGTGGAATTGGTTAATTGGACTTTCTTTATTCTCTGGATCAATTCGAGTTGGACAATCAAATGTGCCAAACATGTAATTCTCTTTAAGTCCTGAAGCCATATCTGTTGTGTAGTCTCTATTAACCCATATTCAGAAATCGTTACGTGAGCTAACATACCTGCATTTTTTCTACTGAGCATATCGGCTACCACATTGCCATTATTTGGGTGATATAAAATATTGTAATCGTAGTCCTTGAAGAGTTCTATCAAACGCCTCTAACGCATGTTGAGA